GTAGTAGGGAAGGAATGAATATATAGGATAGTCTAGAAAGGAAGTGGTACGGTATACGTGTACTTTGGGGTAGAACATTTCAGGCTGTGTAGGGAAGGAATGTATATATGGGTAGTCTAGAAATGAAGTAGTCGGTTTGCACTGGAATTGGTGCTGAGGGTAGATATTGGGTGAGTGTGGTACACGAATTGAAAAGGAATGGGGTTATAAGATGCATTTTTGCGATGTGACTTGGAAACCATAAACAAGGTCATATAAGTTGGCATGCGTCGCTTGCCAGACATTCATAATAAGCTGTGACTTGCACAATGTCTTTCTGAAAGAATGTACACTGTATTGTTGTGAAACCCACTTGTTAATATGTATTTGAATCGATATACGTTTATGTATGCGTACTTTTTCGCACGTAAAATCGTATCACAACTTCACACCCAAACAGCTACTACCGCATCCCTTACAAATATATTCACATCCCTCTCCCACCTCTAACCCGACAAAGACTCTCGGGCAATCGCTTCAACACATACCAAGTTGATGTCCTGAACATGTCTGTCATGGCAGGCCCACCACAGATCCAAATGCTCCACAAGGTGTTCAGCATTGTCTGCGTGCAGCACTCCATTAGCGTCACGTGCGTGCATCCAAGGCTTTGCCGCACCGATGAAGTGCACAATCTTGGCGTCCTTGCCATAGCTGGAGAAAGATATTATGAAGCAAGGTGTCATCATCTAGCAAACACGCGAAGTAATATTTGTGACAACGGTTTCTCACGAGAACATTTACAATGCCCTGGTTAATTCACGCAGACATTGATTATCTCACTCCACGTACGTGTGCTCTATATACATTTATACAATTATGAAAAACACATAAACATCTTAATACAATATAAATATATGCCTATATAAACATATATGTATATGTATATGTGTATATATATATATATGTATATGTATATATATACATATATATATATTTATATTGTATTAAGATGTTATATATATGTATAAATATATGTATATATATATATGTGTGTGTATATATATTTACATATATATAGCTTTATAAATATGCACTTATATCCATATATACACATGAATATGCATATAAATACACATACATACTCTACATACATATAATTGATCGTTCACTTTCATACCAACGAAATAGACACAAAAAATATTTTACACGCCGCACCCATCATGAAACCCTTTTCAGACTACTTTAGCGGTCGTACACTCTTATCACAAAGATCCAAATATCATTGAAAATCTAATATATATATATATATATATATATAAACACAGGTGTCTATTATTACCGTTTGTAAGCGGGGGCGTAGAAGTACGTAGCGTTGGCGTTCAGGTTAAATACAAACGGCAAGTGCTTGTGGATATCCTTGGTGCTCCAGTCGCAGAAATACTCGTTAAGCAGACCCTGGTCACCCCCATCGAAACTACCTGTGTTCTCAGACAACTCCACGAGCTCGTGGAATGTGTCTAGGTTCGGTACACACACAAACACTCCTGAGTTAAAGCAATCGGGCCATCCGACATCGGGCGCCGCACTGAACTCCTCGCGGTCGAAAAGCTCGTCGACGTTCTAAAAACAGAAATAATGGTGTATGCATACAGTTTAGCAAGTGATAGTGCGACGCGCTACATACGCGATAGGATTAATGCAACAAGGCCGGAAACTTCGGAACAGGTGAGTATTCCTAGAGCCGATAAAGGTGACTAGACGGTACTCGGTGCAGTTGCTAAATTCGTTCGACTGGGCACCTCTCAATCACTGAGTGCATTTCACAGAAGTGCCAGACGCTCATATACAGTGCCAGAGGTGTACCTATCACATGCATGGAGACGCAAGATAATTTTCTCTCGCGGCGCTATGCTTAGACACTCGTGTGGTTCGAAAGCGAACTATAGTGATGTGAATGAATCGAATTCGAGGATCACACACTCGCGGTACAACAACGAATGCAGTGTTGAAAATGCAAACTCAAAGCGCATGGAAAGGCTATAGCGGACAAGAAATATATCGATTGTTATTGTATAGTGACTGTACAGTTGACGTACGTAAATACGGCGTAGCACACCGACGACATCACGCATGGGACACGCTCACAATACATAAATCAAAAGCAGAACTAAACAATACAAAACCAACAAATGCACACCTTCAATACAAGTGTGTCGGCGTCCAGGAAGACAGTCTTCTTGTACTGAGTCAACTTCCAGATGAACAGTTTGGTGAAGGTGATGCCGAGCTCAGGACGGCACAGCAGATCCAGGTTAACGGAATCGTTACTGTTGAGCTCGGACACGGCTACAACCTCGTCAAAGGCGGCTGCCAGGCGGTCTCTACAGAGTTCCAAATTATGGATTGAAATTAGACCGTGTGCATGTGCTTGAGCTTGCACTTTATCTATCTCCTTATTATTTGGGGCAGGTAGTAGTTGTGCCGCTCGCGACTTAGACAGGGGTTCGGCCACCATAACAGTACCGCAAACTAGCACAAGTAGGCTTGTACACCTCACGCGTAGGTAGACGGATGCACTCGCAAGAGTTATACAAGGCAAATGAGCCTATGCATGCATCTGCGGATAAAATTACACACACCTTTCGGTCGACAACAGAAAGCAGGCAAAAGGTCATATGACTTTGACTCGGAAACAGTTGCATCTGAGAATACACAATCTACACAGCAGACGTAACAAGTGGTTCGCAATCCATTCGCCCCCGTAGCTCTAAACGCCTACGACGAACCGGTAGTAGAACTGGATCTCACATTTAATCAGTTTTGAAAGCAACAGACATCAAACAATAACAGTGCGGCACACTGTATAGTACGCATATGAAGATAAGCACGTTAAAAATACTCGTGAGAACACCCATTAATCAGCATATGAACATGATGAGCACGTTTACATACCTAATGGTCTGCGACACCTTGTGGGTGACTAGGCACACTAGTTTGCGCTGTGTGTTGGTCTCCCTCAGCGAGTACGCTAGGGTCAGGCCACCCAGGACATAGTTGTCGCTGGCGACTAGTGTTACAAAGGCTTCGTCTGTCATGGGATGGCAGAAGACAATATTATGTTAAACCGATTTCTTATTCAGGTGGGATTGTGAAGGTAATGGGGCGCTTAGATTACCAAAGATGCGCTTTTATAGACATACTCTTATTCGATACCAACAACGAGCTTCCAAAGCTGCATATGTCAATGGGATGCCAGAAACAAGCTTCTATGCACGAGTCAATGAGATACCAGGAAAAAGGTCCGGTAAATATATCAGTAAGGGCGAAATTGAAAAGTGCGCCGTAATGAGGGTACGATGTATGATTCCCAAAAGGACATTTACTTTTGTACGCGTTTGAAAGCTTCTGCGCTAGTACTCAGCACGCTTGACAAATGCATACGCACTGTTATACGACTTACGCAGCACTTACTACTTCTAAACTTCATGTATGCCATATATACAATGCAACATATACAACTTAAACCCCAATATAAAAATTGATATTAAAAAACGTCCCAAATGCTCGGATTGTAGAGTACAAGCGCGCATAACTGCATGCGCATGCAAATGCACATGCATACGCAAATGCAAATTCAAATGTTAATTCACATGTGCGTGTGCGTGTGCACACACAAGCACGCACACGCAAAAACGCACACACGATAAACGTACGTACCTATGCACGTATGCACGTATGCACGCACGCATGCACGCACACACGAACGCACGCACGCACGCACGCACGCACACACGCACGCACACACGCACAAACACACACACACACACACACGCGCATACACGCACACACGCACACACGCACACACGCACACCGCACACCCGCACACACGCACACACGCACACACGCACACACGCACACACGCACACACGCACACACGCACACACGCACACACGCACACACGCACACACGCACACACGTACACCCGCACACACGCTCACACAATCAAACGCACCTGACATTGTATGTATATTAGACTATTGACAGTGAGGAAGCGTACGGTATCTGCATATGTATCAAATACATGTTTACTTTTTTGGTCTTTTTTTGGTTTGTGATTAAAAAAAAAATACGTGTCTGTCGTGAGTGCCTTTTTTACTATGAACATTTTTGTCTAGAGATCAGTTTGTACCAAACATCACATGTAGTATATTATACTCCAGTTTTATTATATTATTGCGCAAAATATTCTTTAATTGGAAGATCGGCTATTGTTTTCGAATATTGGCTAAATTTGGGACAAAAAGCCGATTTTCATTGTCGAAATTTAATAAAATGCAACCCGCTAATAGGAGAGAGTAGACTCAGTTGAGAGTGGTTCAGAGAACTTTATAAGGCATAATACTCGAACCTCGGTGGTCGGTAGAAGTCGGTCGGGTGTCGGCGTTGGTGATTGGTGTTCGTAAAAATCATATATATATATATATATGTATTTATATATTCATCCAAATTGGTACATGACGTAACAAACTCTGCATCTGTGATTTTGGCTCCGAGTCTCCGACCCGTGTCATCCCTGGGGGCCCCGTATCGAATATCGATGTCTCATTCTGGTCTCACCGTCCCAGACTCCATTTTCGAGTGCTACGCACCAGTCACCGACTCACCGGTGAATCGGTGATCTCTCCCCATTTGAGAGTGGTCTCCAGTTCTCAACCGGTTTCAAAATTTGATATTTCTATTATTCTAGAGAAGATGCGATATTATCTTTCGTATACAGCGCGTACGTCACCATTTTTCTCTGGCTCGATATGCCACAAGATGAAATATGATATTACGTTGCTACCTTTTTACGAATATGATTGCGTGCTAGTGGTAGAACTATTTTGAGAAAAAAAAAATCACACGGCAATGACGGCATAGCCTCCTAAAAAAGAACATTCTATAAAAAAAATCTTTTTTCCATAGCCTTTGTCAATGTAGAAGACTATGTATTTTCCCTATGACTTTTTATCGCATCAGACTCATAAACATAAAAAACTAGTAGCAGAAAATCAGCACGCAGCAAAGGGTAGAAGACTAGTTGTAGAAGCCGAAGGTGTGTAAATACATATAGTTCAATTATTATTTTTTAATATATATTTAAAAAATGAATCTTTGCCGTTGACCTTTATTGTAGTAATGGAGCAAATATGTGACTGAAGTTCTAATATGTTTGTGAATTTAGAATTGTGGGCCACACAAGCAATAAGCATCCGAAACCACTTGCACGAGTAGAATTGTGCATCCAACACATTTAAAAAAAACCCCTATGTTTATTATCTCTATATTATTACGTTCTTTGAAAAGATTGGTTTGAAAAAGCGGTGAGCGCGTGCGTAGAGACTAAAGAGTCGACTGATATTGACTAGATATTTATATCAGAATCTTTGGCCTTTACGCACACGCGTTATTAGGTAAACGCTGCGGTTCGCTGTAGCAGAAACATGGAAGCACTATATATATAACGAATTACCGATACACTGTAATCGAATATAAAGTAGAAATTTTTTTGCATTTTAAGACAGCAGATGTCGTGAGCATCCCTCACGTCTTTACTACTATGAGGAAAAACTCAACAACAGAGCTGCCAAGTTACTGGAAACACCTTCTTTGTTTAATGTCTAGTGTTTGTTGTTAAAATAAGGTGTATGCAATGAGCATAAGTCAACTACTAGACGATGGATTGACATACCTATATTTCTCAAATACCTCGTAGCTCTTTGCGGCTCAGCCTCCTCTCCATATAAATCTATATATTTAGGTCGAATGATGAACAAAAAAAAATGAAATAAAAATGCCATAGATTTCGGTGAAGTTTACCACTCTTGGGTCTTGAGTCGCGAGTGATATGTCCGCGAATGATTGATGCCTGATGGTACATACTCGAAATCCGAACTTGCAACAAACGCGAAGCTAATCTAAATAGTGTAGGCATAATTATAAGTGCTTTAGTTACATCGCTCATGTTTTGATCTTCCTGCGACGTGTATGCGTTTCTATCGCATCAAGTTACGTAAAACAATAATTCGTATATACAAAGATCTTTGTATTGGTATGTTCAAGTTCGAACCCGAGCAAAGTCTATATTATGCCCGGATGGTATAATACGCGTCCGGAGATTCCTCTTAAATTTGTTCATATATGTAT